CTACATGCCACGCTCATGGTGCCCTCGCGGCTGTTTCGCATGCTCCACATGTAACAGATGTGGTGTTACGTGACGTCAATGGATTACGAAGGTATATGACTTGTGCAAACGTGACAATTATGACAAGCATGTTGTAAGAACGTGACAACATACCAAGCTCATGATGTGCTCGCGGCCATTTCGCTAGCTCTGCATATGACAAATTTGGTATCACTTAACGTGAATAGACGACCAAGGTAAATGACATGTCCAAACATGATAATCATTATTGGCGTATCATGTAGAATATGACTACATGCTACCCTCATAGCGTGCTCACGGCCGTTTCGCTAGTTCCACATATGGAAAACTTGGTATTACATGACGTTAATGGACGACGAACGTAAATTACACGAACAAACATCAAAATTATGGCATGCGTGACATGTGAAACGTGACTACATGCTACGCTCCTAGAACGCTCACGGCCGTTTCGCTAGCTCCACATATGCCAAATTTGGTCAGGTGACGTAATAGATGATGAAGCTAAATGAAACTACTAAACATGTTAATCATGAAATAGAAGTCATGTATGGCATAATATACCTCTTCCTGGTAACTTTATGCTGATTTTAAAGTGATATATCAACCTTCCCCGTTCATGCTTCGCATATAATCGCTTCTCACTGTACGTGGGATCTGACCATTTTTTCTATCTGTTTTCTTAATATTTTATCCCCGACTTTTGCTTTGTATGTTTCTCAATATTACAATCAAGATGATGTGATAATCGGCTCTAACGCAAAGCGGCTTCCTATACTTTTGCATAGGAAATATTGGATGGTCGTCACCCTGTGCATGAGGCAGCTTGTATATGATCATCATCATCATTATCATCATCAGCTGTAGGCTAAGCTTCGGTGCATGTCCTACCAGCGATATTCCCATTTGTCGACCTCCCGCTCTACCAAGTGTGTTATACACTAGAAGAAGTGTTTAACAATTTAGAGTATTTAGTACTCTACTATGGAAGAGCCGAAATCCGTTCCAGTTACGTGAAATCCTTCTACTACTGCAACAAGCAATGCGTATGTTTTAACGCCAAGTGCAAGATGAATAGCACTATACCAGTACTATTTGTACTACACCGTGATCTACACGAGTGGAAATAGAAACAATGAAATTAGTGATATTCATTCCTCCAACGGCCACGAGGACTTCGCCGAAACGAGGCCGTATCTCACGACTTCCCACGCGAGTCTCATGTTCAAGAACGAAATGCTATGCTTGCTTCAAAAGTTTTAAAGGACAAAACTTAATCTTCTGCCGTCCTTGACCGTGCTTCTTTGTCATCAACGCGCTTTTAGTTTATTTTAATTTATTTGGGGTACTAATGACTTACTTATAAAGCTTCAGACCAGCGAGAAAAGTGCAGCACAGTCACAGTGAAAGCTGGAAAAGGGGTGTTTCTAGAAGCCGTTGTAACACTCTTGGGACTACCAAAGAAGTTCAAAACCTCTTTGGTGGCTACCAATGGGGCTAATAATTCAAGTACGCTTGCAAGGTACCCACTAAGCCGTAGATCATTATTAAAGGTGAAGCTCCTGAAGCCGTGGGTATGCCCATGCATGTGTTTTGTGATCGGTTCGTAAATAGTGACCACCTAGCTGTATGACTCACACAGCAGGTGGTGCTAGTCTGAGTGACTGACAGACGGATGGACAGACAGACAGAGAGGCAGGACAGACAGATGGACGGACGAATGGACGGATGGACAGACGGATGGACAGAAGCAAGGACGGAATGATGGACGCACGTATCGACGCCCGGATGGACGAATGGACGGAACCACGGACGGACGGACAGAAGCACTGGACACACAAACGGACGGGCGGATGCTGCACCCCAATCATCATCATTCACCTTGTGGATGTGCTGTGTTTTTTTGTTAATTTGGGAGGCACCTGCTACGCCATTATCCATGATTTTTCCGAGAAGAGAGGTAACCCGCTATGCATTCGCATGCAAGACATTATATGCACTTCACTTAGTGCAGTGGCTGATGACAATGAAGTATTTTGGCTGAGCTTTTGTAATGAGTTGGAAGGATTCAACGACCCACGCATCACGCAATACGTATTGTGTGACACCTGGTTACAGAATTCAGATTGTGTGACACTTCGTTTTACTCTTCTACCAGGCTATTTTACTCAGGTTAAGGCGGTTCCTACGCGACATAACGCCTGGGTAGGGTCGCTTTGTAGAGGAGTTTCGAGTAGCGGCGTGGCTCCGTGGTATAATGCTGCGCTTCTATGCAGGGGACCCCGGTTCAAACCCCATTCATCTCCGACTTATTTGTTCTGCAATACGTTTTTTTATTTTTAGTGATGGCGGTAACGGTCACCAGCGGACATGGCACAAAAAAAAGCCCTTTGTTGCGATCTCATAACAGGCTTTGCTATAACATTGAAATAGATGATGATAGTCCATATTGTACGTGAAAGGTCAATTAAGTCAGAAAAAAAAGCGCTCTTCATCTCACAACCTGATGATATTCTCACGTAATCGGTGGCAGAGGATTTGATTGATTGATTCATTGATTGATATGTCGGGTTTAACATCCCAAAATCGCCATGTGATTATGAGAGACGCCGTAGTGGAGGGCTTCGGAAATTTCGACCACCTGGGTTCTTTACCGTGCATCCAAGTCTGAGTTGGCGGAGGCGTACAGGTGTCGAAATGTCCAGGTGTAGTTCGAGACAAAAACACTGAAACAAAACTGACAAGTAAATAGAGCATACAAAAGCTACGGCGTGGATTAAAACGAAGATAGCAATAATGCGGTGATTTGCGATTGCATATGTTTTCACTTTATAAAAAAAAGCAGGAAAGAAGTGCAGATAAAAAAAATCAGGAAACGGAATACATTGAGATACCTAAAGAGATGTGCCTTGCCAGTGCACACAGACCTACACCTTTTTGAATTGCGAGTTGTACAATAAACACATCAATTTGTTGTTCTTTGTCTCGGGCATACACATAGCAAACAGGCAACAAAATTTCGACCTTTCAAATACTATGGAAATGTCAAACCAGAAATTCTGCATGGTTAACACTTGCCTTGTTAAAGTTACTGCCAAGGTAAAGAAAGCGAATAAAACAAACGCAAGCAAAGGCAGACAAATAAGAAACAATGAACAAAATTTGCACGAGGAACTACTGCCATTTTTTTCTTCTTTGTACTGCACACCAATGTTGAGCAGTGCACCAGCAGCACGGCGCCAAACTTTTCAATGCTTTATTTCATGTAGAAAGATGTTTTTTTTTGTTTGGCGGGTGGGTTAGAGAGTATGCGATGGTGAACCACCTCGACGACCTACGCACCAAGAATATAATACGTCTTCATTGTAGGGATCTCGCACAGCGAGAAGTGCGCAATATTACTTCTTTTCCCCTTCTGTGTTGACAACAACCTAGATGGATTCATAGAAGCCCAACTGACGACGAAGCTTGCAAGAGTTTCGTCCACCATCACAAGGCGAAAAATACTTGAGGGCGATAATATTACTCGGAATGTCGCGCGAGAACGTGACATGCAGCTCCAAAATCGCATGAGGTCCCACATTCAGGTTTCTCCGCTGCCGAAGAACGTAAGTCCACAACACAATATCGGCAGAAGGTTGGCTAGAACTGCTGCGCCCTCGTCACATGCACATGCTCTTGCGTCGGATGCATGTTTTGTCGATGCCGTTCGATACGAGGTTCGGCTATCAACACTTCCCGCTCTGTGGTCGTCTCAGTTGACACCAAGGGCTCGGTCCTTTCGGCCGCGTCAATCATTGCCTGGTCGTCTGGCAAGGCAGAACAGCTAGCCATAGCATTAGCCATCTTAGATCCGAGCAAAACAGAAGTCTACACAGACTCGAGGTCGGCAACCAGAGCAATCGCCTCTTAGGCCTTCTGTAGGGATGTCGGCAAGATACACTCGTAGCAAAAGTACTTGACTTGGTTCGCGGTTTACGTGGGGTCGGAAGTAGGGGGGCTTGTTAGCGCTAATGAATAGGCTGATGCTTGAGAGCGTGGTCTCGGTTGCCACGCCGCGCTTTCCGAGGCCGGGGTGGGCGGGGCCTGCGACGGAACGAATCTGGTTTTATAGTGGCGGAGACGGGAGCGCTTCGCTTTAGGAACACACTCTGCACCTTGAAAGAAGCCAGAATTCACTTTGAACTCGCTTGCAGTCTTATAGCCACAACGAGGCATATAGCTTCTTCATTTTTTCACGCTTAAGTTATTACAAACGCACTAATATCCCTTCATTTCGATGTATAGTTTCCCGATGTTCTCGCCTTTGTGTGCCAACTACGGCAGATACAGATATTTTAATCACATGCTCTGCAGTGCTCTTCTTTATAGCACTATACGGATCAAAATAAATCGCAAGGCACTTTTTATTGACTGCTCATGAGTCACGACTGGCACCAACAACTCCAAGCAGTCCAGGAGGCCAACGCAGCGTTGAGGCCTGGCGTTGCCATTCCGACGTGGGAGCGACCCGCGGCCTTCCCTAGGGTCGTGGCTTCTTCACGACTTCAATAATGTTAAATGCCTATTTACCTACTATGTGTAGATTTTCAGGGCACATACTTATTTTATGGTCACTGAAGACCAGCATGCAAAGTTCGAAACGTCCCGAAGGGGGGGGGGGGTGGATTACCGGTATATTTCGCAAAAAAAAAAAAATGCGAAACCGCCTGTGCCTACACTTTGCTTCAGTGTCGCTTCAAAATTATTTGCATTCAGCATGAAATATTACAACCTACACATTCTCGAGATACACACGTATGTCATCTGTTAATGTGTGCAGCCCAGTTTTGCACTAACGTATGTTCTATACAGTGAGAATCGAATAGCAAAAGAGTTTAAATAGTTTGTCCTCACTAAGACACTTCTGATGAATTTACCAGCCTTGGCATTAGCTATTTTTGCCGCAGGCGTGTCACTTAAGAGCTTGAAAGTGTCTTTCAACGACCACTCTTTTGGTCGAGGGTCTTTACTCGCTCTTTCCATTCTTCGCCGGCTCGACCACGGCGTCCATCGTGCCACTGTGGTCCCGTCGAACAGGGATGATTGGGCTTGGTGACGTAGGTCTTGATGTAGAAGTTGACAAACAGACACAATATGAGGAACGTCTGCAGATTTCCCACGATGATAAGTTGCTTCGGAAAGCCGCAGTCCACGAACAAGGGAATGGACATGTGCATCATGATGAGCACGAACTTGCATGATCTGCATGGTGGTCAGGTACTTCTTCCACCAGAGGTACTTGCGCACACCGGGCCCCAGTGTCGCCAGGAAGTAGTAGGAGTACATGATGATGTGGATGAAGACGTTCAAGCACATGCCCATCACGGGCTGGCCCTCGGGCGCGAAGAGCGTGAAGAACCAGACGTTGGCGACCACGATGGTGTGGTGAATGACGTGCAGGTGGGTGATGTGGGTGAACTTCTTGCGCAGAACGAAGAACACGGTGTCCAGCAGGTCCATGTAGCGCGAGATAGTGTACACGTAGCCCGTGCGGTAGTACTCTCGCATCTCGTCCGTCACGTGGCCCGTGATGCCCTGGCACCAGAGGTTGTAGTGGCCACCGGGCAGATAAGTGAACCGGAGTACCAGGTAGAGAAACCGCACATTGATGAGCACCAGTGCCAGGTTGTAGACGCGCACGACGTTGAGGATGCGGAAGGGCTCCCGGTCCTTCATCCAGCGAGGACCGGCCACCTTGACGAAGTAGAGGTAGGCCGCCACCAGCGTCACGACGAATAGCGGATCCATGACCAGAGGGTAGTCTCGCGTTCTTGGGTCGCCCATCTCGCGAATCTGGCGCGACAGCACCACTGGGTTTAGGCTGAACTTCATGGTGGCACAATGGGCTTTATCCGGGTGGCCGGTTCGAGCTCGGGAGGTATCTACGAAAGCCGGTATATAAAAGTTAACGACTGCATTTGTGTTGTATTCAAGCTCTGGCATACAGCGTAATGAATTTCAGCTGAGGGGCTACATGTAGCCTGTACACTTAAGCATTCGGTGCTCTTCAGCCACGTTAGATAACACCAATTTTTTACCATTACATGTAAATTAGATGACATGCGGTTCTCCTTAGGCTGCACACTGAGGTTATAAGTGGTTCACAGTTAACACCTTTAATCTGGTAGGAAGTGTGGAAACGCCGAGAACGGGCTCGTTATATAGTTCGGATCCATAACTGCCTAAAGCGCAAATGAACTGAAATACAAGAAAAATGCAGAAAAAGCTTTGCCCTGCGTTGTTTTCTTTTCTGTCTTTCGCTTCTTACATGTTTTTTGTGTTATATAAAACGAAGTTTACGAAAGTTACATTAGCCTCTGAAAAACACACAAAATCGAGGATTTCGATGTGCATGGCCCAACACGTTCCTCAGTTCTTCAGATAGGACATCACTGAGTGGTCGATTTTTTTTCTCTCGACGTCATGATACAGTCATAAAAAACTCTTAGATCTATTCTTAGGCACCAAAACTCTTAGGCACAAAAATATTTTAGGAATGAGGGCACTGGTAGTATTGAGTAACTTTTAGCGAGAAGTTATTAAAAGCCAACCATGTAAAGCCTAACTACAATAATAGCTGGAATTTAACGTTCCGAAACTTCGGTATGATTAGGAGAGACGCCGTAGTTGAGGTACAGGGAAACTTCCACCAGCCGGTTTTCCTAAATGTGCACTGACGTCACACACTACACGGGTAACAGCCGCGACCGTAATCGAACCCGCTACTCCCGGGTCACCAGCCGAGCACCATGCATAATGTCTGATCTACCACAGGGGTTGCGGTGCTCGGGTAATGCGACCATACTGCGGTGGGGACCGTAGTATGGTCGCAGATATAAAGCTGCGACCATACTAGATATAAAGCTGGTCGCAGATGTTCCAAAATAAACAATCAATATTCTCGAAAAACTCATCTTGTCTGCATAACTTTAGACAGGTGATCTTGACGAGCCCGCTGATAATGTCCTTCCATAAGATCGGATTTAGACGATCCGGCTAAAGTGCCTTCAAAACTTACACAGTTACATTATGTCAGTGCAATTCCTGTTCCTGCACCACGTAAAAAGGTAAGCCTCATGACCTGCGCTCTCATGTAAGTAACAGGAGTGATTTGTTACTATATTCTGGTAACGGTATGTCAGCCAGTCATGATGCGGATAAGGGAAACTGGCTTAGTGGCTTAGTGCGGAGCTTTGCACTGATGTAGTGCTAATAAGCAACCCTTAAACGGATATATAATACAACGATCATTCTCTGTTATAGGGCTACACGGCGTGAAAGAAAACAAGGGTGATAAGCAGACGGGGCGATTGGAGACTATCGCTCTTGATATTTGATCGTCTGCGCGTGTCCCCGCATACTTGTTGTCTATGTATTATTCCACGCAGTATACCTTAATCTTGAATCATCAACTGGCCCAATCATCGACTTGGCACTCTCCACAATAATATCTGGGGTTTAAGGTCCCGAAATCACGATGTGAATATGAGGAACGCGATCGCGGAAGGCTCCTGAAATTTCGGCTATCTGGTGTTCTCTAACGTGCACTCTCATCGCACAATACTCGGGTGTCTAGCACTTCACCTCCATCTAAACGCGACCGGCCGCGGCCGGATCGAACCCGGGACATCAGGGTCAACAACCTAGCACCGTGAACGCGACACGATCCCAGTCGGACGACTTTGCATTCTCCGTAAGCTCTGTACGAGAGATAAGAGAGAGATAGAAAGTTTACTGAAGCAATGTTTTGGACCACCGCTTCAATCAGCACACCTACCTCCACTGCCCCTGGAATGTCGAGGTATGTCTGAAGCCGTTGGGTGACGCGCACGCTCCGCTCCCTTCTCCACTGGTGTATACGAACGCCTGCGTCCTCGGCTTTTTGGAATGAGCGGAACGTCGAAGTGAGTGAGCATGACGCCGCGTGAGAAAGAGCGGGTGTGACGGGGGAAAAGAACAAAACATCACGAAGAAAAGTATACGTTTCACAGGGTTCGGAGTGAGATTTGTCGCCTCTTTCTCGCAGCGGCCTCGCGCAATTAACGGAACGACATTACGGGAGGGTTTCGGATGAGTCGGGCAGAGTGGTACCACACGAGTGGCCATTGTTCTTCGCAGTCACCGTTGCTTCTGCGCCGCTTTCCTTTGCACGCACGCGTACAAAGGACCACCAGCTGTCACTCACAACCATTAGAGAGGGCCCTGCCCTCTGCCGGCTGCTGCCGTTCTGCAGTTCAATTCTTCTTTTCCAGTGCTGTATTTTCCCGCGTTGTTCGTAAGAGACAGTTTGACGGAAATTGCAACCGACCAGTGCCTCTACGTGATGTGTCACGTACACCTCTCTGGAGTCACGGCGAGGCGTGGCTGTTGATGATTGTTCTATCGAGACCGCGGGACAATGCAGCCGTAGCGCGCATGCGCGGACAGCACGCGTCTATCTCATTGGTGGTGACCGCGTTCTGAACTGCCTTTGGACGGACGTGAATCTGTGGAGCGCATACTGTAAGCAATGCAATGACCGCTCAGCCGTTACTGTAGACATGTGAGGGTTGAGAAATAAAGAGAAACTTCACAACGTTATTTGTGCTTTCACATAAGACGACTCGAAGGCGAAAGTCCTTTTTCTTCAGAGTCAATGTAACTGATGATGCACCGCCACCCTTCGAAAGCTTTTCGCACCTAATGCGGTTTCAGACTGCCTCGAAGGTCGGAAGCACCGCACCCTGTTTAGCATTGCCTCCGCGATCGGATTACCTTTGACTGATCTACGACGTAATGAAATGACGTCGCCATCTGTCGTCATCGTCACGTGTCGTAACACAAATCTTGGTGATGTGTGGCCTCTCGCGTCGTCATCACATGATTATTATTTTTTTATTACTCGACGCACCCCACGCCACGGGTCGCCGACGGTCAAGTATCACATTGGATGATTCACCTATGTTGGTGACGTCGGTTAGGAGGTTAGCCTAGATCAGGGGTTGGTAACCTTTGGAGCCGGAGGGCCAGTGATCATAGATATAGTGCGAACTTACGTACACTAGCCTAACCGACGCAAAAAATCACGTTTAAAGAAGTGAAAGTGGCAAATACAAGCTCATCCCTAGGTTTTGTAACGGCATCGAATGTGCCTCTGGCATCGTTAATTTGCACACAATATTGACATTCAAGCGGAGCGAATGATTCGCTACATAAATGTGATCAGCTTTATTTGCAAAAAAAAAGGCAGAACCAACGTACAATGGGAATCGATTATATGCAAACCACAAATGAGAAAGGTGGATATGTCACTTTAAAATCAGCACAACGTCACGAGGTGGAGGTAAATGATGCCGTACATGACTTCCGTTTCATGATTATCATGTTTAAATGTGTGCTTTACCTTCGTCATCTATTCCCGTCTTGTGATACCAAATTTAGTGTGCGTGGAGCTAGCGAAACGGCCGCGAGCAGGCTATGAACGTGGTATGTTGTCAGCTTGTGAGGATTGTCATGTTTGCACCAGTCATATATTTCGTCATTCACTGACGTCCCGTAACACCAAATTTGGTATATGTGGAGCTAGTAAAATGGCCGCGAGCGCACCATGAAGGGCCCAGTATACCCCAATGTAGGGTCTCATGATTATCATGTTTGCACTTGTCACATACCTTTGTCATCCATTCACGTACCGTAAAACCAACCTCGGTAAAAGTGACGCTGGCAAAACGGCCGCCAGCGCATCATGAGCGGGGCATGTAGGCATGTTGTATACGACACGAATCTCATGATTATCATGTTTGCACTAGTCACATACCTTCATCATCCATTCACGTCCCGCAATACCAACCTCGGTATAAGTGAAGCTAGCGAAACGGCCACCAGCGCATAATGAACGTAGCATGTAGTCATGTTGTAAATGACACGTATCTCCTGATTATCATGTTTGCACTAGTCATATACCTTCGTCATCCATTCACGTACCGTAATACCAAATTTGGTGTATGTGAAACGAGCAAAACGGCCACCAGCGCATCATGAGCACGGCATGTAGTGTTGTTACATGACACGCATGTCATGATTTTCATGTTAGGGTCTGTCGCTTGCGTTCACCCTGCAATCATGCCTTACCATACCAGTTTTGCAACAAGCCATGTGAACGAAACCACCGCAAGAGCTGCAGGATCATGAAATGTAAATCATGATATTCGTGGCATACATGTCGTGATTTGCATGTTATGACTAGTCAAATATGTTCTTCATACAATTGTGTTATGCCATACCAGGTTTGGTATCGATACCATTATTGAAACGGCCAGGAGAGCTAAAAGTCGTAGGTGGCTAGATAGATAGATAGATAGATAGATAGATAGATAGATAGATAGATAGATAGATTAGATAGATAGATACGCTCAAAGTCGCCGAAGTTCGCTAAGGAATGCTTCGCGTTTAAAAAGTGTGTACCGATTTATAGTACTGGCACTCTTCGATGAGAGAGCAGAACACGTCCCCTCTACATGTATGCGTTTAGAAAAACTGGCTTACGATTTAGAGTACTTGCTACTTTACTACGGTAGAACATAAAGCCGTCCCGTGGGCCAAATCTCAGACGATAAACAAGGATGCACGAAGGGTTCATTGTGCCGGAGTGGCCGCTGTGCGCAGCGGATCAAGCGTTATGTAGTCACACTGATGTCATTTTATCCAGAAAAGCCTATATGCTCTATCTGATTACAATGCAGAGCTCTGCTGCCTCTTGAAAAAAAGTTTTATTCACAATTTACACAATAAAAATGCATCAAAAAGAAATTAGGTTTCTATTTGATCCTTCAACCGAGTGATTGCAGAATAGCGCAAG